AAGGGGGATTCTGAACCGCTGGACCACCAGGGAGGGTTAAATCCCTGGAGCCCTGTTCTTAAGAGGAGTGTTGCTGGGTTTGGCCTTTCCATCTGTCTGGCCAACCAAGACCACAGCTGCTGTGCTGCCTACATCCATCCCTCCGTGCCAGTAGGCAGCTCTCTCCCTCCTCCAGCCTTGTGTCTCTGGCCTGGCTGTGGTCCCAGGCAGGGAGCACCCCCTTAGCCTGCATTCTGGGTATGGGGACAGTAGTTTCCCACCCCTCAGTGTGCAGGAGAACCCTGCCCCCCGCCTGCTTGGCCCCAGCTTGCTCTTAGCTTAGAACCCTGGGCTGATTTTTAAGGCCACTTTTCATAGTTTCTCTTTTCACTTTATAGTTTTTTTCGTTTGTTTGTTCATTTGTTTTACTATCATCAAAGGTAGGGTTTCCCTTTATGGTTCTTATTTCCTTTGTTGTTTTTAATTTGGCCTCATGAACAAGAACAGGACAAGGTTGTCTTTCTGCCACCACTTGTTACCAGGAGGTCCACATTCTGTTTCTGGTTATACATGTGTCTTAGTTGTCAGTGGCCATCTTGGGGCATCCCTTTTCTAGTTTTCTGTGTGAGCTGAGATCTCCTCAGACTCTCTGACTGCCTTTGACTGTTGATTCCTAGTAATTAACAGTCATGCAAGTAACCTAGTGAAAAACTGTTTAGAAAGAGGCATTGAGAGAGTGGCGACTTTCTTATATATTAACTTTATCCTAAGGGATATTATTCAGTTTAGGTAAAAGCTCTGTCTCAAAATGTCTATCAGATGATTGTCATGTTTTGATAGATGGGGCATAGCAATCTCTTGTGAGGTTTTTAAATATTATATTGTTATTTTTTAGGACACTACAGTAACTTCCTCTGAATATATGTGTATACAAATGGATAACTTAGAGTGGTCAGATATATTCTGTCTTTTAAAATTATTGCCTTATGAGAATAATAGAATGTCAAGTAAATATCCTGTAGCAGGCGTGCATATAAGACAAACCATTGATGTGTGTGTTTGTGTGTATTGCTGGGTATGGTACCATATATCTCTGTATATCTGTATGTCTCTATACACACTGTGTTTTGCCACATACATATTTGCAGTTGTTATGTTAATCAGGGATGAAGACAATACAGGAATATAAAAATGCATTTTGAAAGCACAAGTATCCCTGAGAAGCAGTTCATTCCTCTTTAAGATAGGAGGGGCCCTAGATGCAGGCAGGGCCTGGGAGGGGGGCCAGCGGCAGGGGTGGCAGGGGCCCTGTGTCCCCGTGCAGCCTCCTCTCCCTGTGGGTGCTGCGTGCTCATCACTCCTCTGCTGGACTGGAGGATGCATCACCTGTTCCTCCCTGTCTCACCGAGACACTGTAAGGAATTGTGAGAGTGGCTTTTGTGTTTACTTTTATGTCACATTAACTGAAGGCTGTGTTAGTATTGTCTTGCATTATTTTATTTAGAGGGTCCCGAGTATAAGCCAAGTTACAGTCTCCCTTAAATTAGATTATGGTTAGTGTGACTAATTCTTAAACGTCTGTAATAGTAATAGTCCTAGTGCTTGACAGTGGATCATTCAGCATTCTTAAAGAATGGTATCTTGGTTTTAACTGTTCCTTTCTTTATTTTTTAGTATTTATTTTTATTTGTTTGGCTGCACCGGGTCTTGATTTCGGCACGTGGGATCTTTGTTGCAGTATGCAAACTCTTAGTTGCAGCATGTGGGACCTAGTTGCCCGACCAGGGAGACCAGGGATCGAACCCGGGCCCCCTGCATTAGGAGCATAGAGTCAGCTACTGGACCTCCAGGGAAGTCGTAAATTGTTCCTTTCTTTAAATAGGCATAGACAGCATTATTTTCCTTTGACGGTAAGGCTCATGTTAATTACATTTTTAGCTGACAAGAGAAAAGTCCAAGGACTGACTGAAGAAGAAAAAAAAAACAACACACCTCCTCTATTTTTAGAGGCTGAAACCAGAACCATGCTTTTGGCATTGGTGGTGAAGTGACGCCCAGTGATTTAGGACTTGAAGCTTTATGGTCTCTCTGAGTCCCTTAGTTTGCAACCCTATTTTTAGAGGTTTACAAGCGGCTTTTTATGCAGGCCTGGAATGTCTTCTATAGCAGAATGGAATCATTTCTTTAAAAAGAGCTTAGAAATAGTAAAATAATAATTTAGATGCCATAAGTCAGTTCAAGGTTAAACTTGATGTAGTAGTTGAAAAGGATAGTGATAGAAGAATAAGATACAGCTGTGCATCCCTCAGTAAGAGCTAAGAACGAGAAGTGATGTGGGTGATTGACTTTCACTCCTGTTAGCTGAAGAAAACAATTCTCTGAAACATTTTAGAATAAAAATGTTTAAAATAAATAATAATAATTCTAAGAAGAAAAAAAATAAAAAAATAAACACTGTGATTCACTATATTGTAAAAAAAAAAAAAAAAAAAATGGATTTGACAGCACCAGCGCTGATATAACTTAAACCATACACCTTTTTCAGTCATGGAGAATGAGGCTTTTTATCACATCCCTAGCTTTTCAAGACTTTTCTTGAACTTATGTGTATGCATGAGATGTATGCATGAGATGTAAGGAGAACCAGCTATTAAGAATCCTTTTTTTGAGATCCGTACTGTTTCTTATATCTTCAAAATCAGTTTTATTTTTTTCTAACCTGATACCAAAGGCCTACATTCACAAACAGCAAGTATCAAAATCAGAAAAACACTTCCTGCTTCCAGCAGTCATTTGACCAGTATGATTTTAATACTTCTACACATATCTGGGATGAACAAATTTAACCAAAGACAGTATCCCTCGTGATCATATTGATAATTTTTCCTATTGTTAGTATCAAATATCTCCTCTTTATTATCCTTCCCCCCCCCCCCATTTCTAAGAAGTTAGGTTTTCTTTAAAATTACACTGAAGGTTTTGTAACAGGACCTCTGTCCTGAGATGCCATCTCTGTTACATGTAGTATATCTGCATGGAAAACTTAAATCCTATTTCTCTTCCACACTGCAGATAACTTACTTGCTGTCCTCCTTGAGGGGCCTGTTGCCTGATATGCTCATCACTTGTCTGTGGAAACAAGGTAGATTGGAGATAAAGCAGGCAGCCCTCAGTAGAGATGAGCTGATAAACCTTAAAGAACTCAGAGCTTATCCATGGATGCAAACAGCAGGCCTTTCTTTCTTGATGAGTTCCATTTTATAAGCGGCCATAGTCTTTAGGAAGAGACTGCTGGGAACTCGTGTGAAAAGTATCCTATCTCCCCAGATAGGGCACAAGGCAGTGCATCTGAGTTCTCCATGAGCAGAACACATTCCCTCGGAAAGATCTGAAGACCTATCCACCCAGAGTTTAAATAATTATGGGTGAAAGATTACCTCATGTTCATTTATTATCACTGGGGGATATTGTCTTAAATGTATTTGTCTTTCTGTAACTGACCTGAGTTCTTGGCCTCTTTATTCAACAGAAATTTATAAGAGGTCAGGTGAAATTCAGGCACGACTTTACTGGGCCTCCTGATGCAGCACAGGCGGAAGCGGTAACAGGCGCCCTTGCTCGCTCCTGGGGGTGAGGGGCAGGGGGCGGGGTCAGGTAAGAGGGCGGGCGCGGATTGGTGGGCCAGGATGGAGGGCGGGCTTACCTGCCCTGTCCACCCCCTCAGTGGTGCTGTGTGCCGGGATGGAAGCAGGCTGGGAAGCAGGCAGTACCTGCTTCTGCTCTTAGCGCCTCAGAAGTGGCAGTTGGTTTGTGGCCTTTTTGAATCTCATTGTTCATAATTTGCTCCAACTGCACCTGGCCTGTGTAAGGTAAGTTTTAGGCCCTTACATTCTGTTGCTGCAAGAGACTTTTGTCCAGGTGCAAACACTCCTGTGAAGGGTCCCAGGTCCCAGCCTGTCTCATCGCCTAGATATGTGCACAAGTGTTAAAATCATACCAAGTGATTTCATACCAAATGAAAGCAGGAAGTCTTTTCTTTTCTTTTTCTTTTTTGATATTTGCTGGCTGTGAACGTAAGCCTTTGTTGTTGTTGCTGCTGCTGCTAAGTCGCTTCAGTTGTGTCCGACTCTGTGCGACCCCATAGACCGGCAGCCTATCAGGCTCCTCCGTCCCTGGGATTCTCCTGGCAAGAACACTGGAGTGGTTTACCATTTCCTTCTCCAAAGCCTTTGTTAGCAGATTAGAAAAGAGAAAAATGGTTTTGAAAATACTCCATATCAGTGAGCATGAATTGAACATCGTCTTATTTTCACTGTAGTGGGAAGACAAATGAGTAAAATTTTTCTAGAGGCTATTTTGTAATATGTATCTAAGTTTAATACACATACGCTCTGCTCTTGGACCTAGCACTTCTAAGGATATATAACGAGGAAATCATAGGCATGTGGGGTAAGTTAGATCTACAAAATTTTATCATTATTTATAATAGCCAAAAAAGGAAATAAATATTTTTCAATAGAGTTAGTTCAATTATAGCACTTCATGGGAGGAAATATTATGACACTATGTAAAAGGATATTCATGTTCTATTTACATTGGCATTGAGAAATATTCATCATTTACTATCACTCCATGAGAAGATTACAGAATGATGCGTAGCAAATGGTGCCTTTTTTATCTAAAATAAATATTTATGGATGTTTATTTTGAAGTCAGCTTATACACTTAATTGCGTTTAGAGTGGTTATTTTTTTGTGGGAGGGAGAGAATACCCGGGCCTCTCCAGTACTAATCTGTGCATTTCTGTAAGATTGAAAATTTTACATCAACTTGTATTGCTTTCATAGTCAAAGGAAATAGTAAAGATGTTGACATCCTGAAGAACAGAAGAATATCCCTTGGGCAGGCAGGACAGTACTGGTCTTCGTGCAGCCCTTTTCCTCTTCCTGGAGAGCCTGGGTAGCATTAGATGGAAGTGTGCCATGAGAAGTCTCAAACCCATCTCATAACTTCCTCTGCAGTGAGAAGGCTGCTCACGTCTGGCATTGTGGCTCAGGTGTTCCCACTGCATGACAATGAGGCCCTGAAGAAGCTTGAGGATGCCTGGTATACTCGATTTACCTTGAAGTTTCAGCCCATAGGTACGTGTCAGTGCCCGCTCTCTCAGAGGAGGACACAGCAGTTGGGGATGTCCTTCTTGGGTGGGTATTTAATGCTGTGATGGGCAGGACTCAGCAGCTGTGTGGGCAGAGAAAATGGTGAGGAGGATAAGGTGGGTTGCATGATCTATTTGTTTTATTCTTAGTATCATCTTAGATGAAGTGAATTACAGACTTTTATTAAATGTCACCAATGACACGGACAGTCCAGAGTGGCCATCCTGAGCGTGTGTCTGATTTGTTGTAGAACATAGTTTGTAAGAATTCACTTTGACCATGAATATTTCGTATTTGAAAGTTGCTGTTTCTTTAGAGCTAATTATTTGGAGTGGGCCAAGCTCTGCTCATTCTTAGCAGCAGACTAGCAGGCCTAAGCATCTTTTGAGATAATTCATAAGGATCTTGGTGTGCATTACTGGATCTGTCCATTTTGTCTCAAGACACTAAGAAGAATAACCATTAATTTATTCAGTGGATGTTGAACATTATTCTGTGTAAACTTATGTCAATATGGATGTTCAAGGTTTGTGGTTTAGTGATTTTTTTAAGTGTAAAGATTATATTTAAGCTGGTAGTTTTCACCATAAGTATTACTGTGAGTTTTTTCTTTAAAGAACCTTGCCTTTTTCTCTTTGTTTAAGGGAATTCCTCTAAAATTTTCTTTCCTTCCAATTTCCATTTCTGAAAACGGTCATTATAATATTGTCATAATAAGCAAAAAGTCATTTTAGGGTCCAATTTTAAAATTGCATTTTGAGTTTTTACTTGAATTCTTTGAAAGGAAAAATGTTGATACTTCCAGGTGATGTAAAAATCATTTTATGTTTCACTTATACGATGTTTCTTCACTTTGTTTAGCCTTTAAGTGGCTGTAAATTTAAATATTATTTCTAGGTCTTGTAAGTAACAGTCTCCAGTAGCTATATCTTAGAAAGCAAGTGAGGAAAAGTGAGTTGATGGTGAAGGCTGAGCACAGGTGTAGTAGTGGTCTTGAGGCCTCTGGGAGAGCTGGGGCTCAGAAAGATCTTGAACTTGTCCTGAGATCAAAAGAGAGAGGTGGTTTGATTTGGAGCCAAGGCCCATGAGTGTCTTATTTTTTTTTTAATTTCTTGGGTCTCTTTTAACCTGATTCTCATTTGAGGTTAGTTTGTCATACCGTCTGTTGTTTTGTTTTTATTTTTATTTTTTTAATTTTAACATGCTCCTGAGTTAATAGGAGAATTAAAGATAGGGGAAAAACAGTGTCTTTGTTTAGTCTGAACCATCCCTATAGACTGATCTGATACATTATCTTAAAACACTGTTTTTCTTTTTTTTAAACTGCATGTAATTAACCAAGAATACTAATTCTGACTATTACTTCTCCCTTACCGCCTGCATCCCACCTGGTCCCAATGCAGGGCGCTTTTGTAGTCTAAGAACTCACCCATGTAGATGTGGCTGACAAAGGACACAGTGTTTGTGACCTCTTTTGTGTTAGTTAGCTTGTGTCAAGTTCACAGACAATTAACAGTGATGTTGCTTGGCCCTTCTTCTGCCCAGTGGGTGTATGAAAGTTTAGATAAATGTGTTCCATGGCTGTTCTAGAAGTTAACATGTACAATATTGTTCATGCTTTTGAATAATTTTTCTTCAGGGTATTGAAAAGTTTGCCATGACACATTGATGAAAATATATAGCTTTGGGTAGCCGGGGGGAGCAGGATACTATGGATGGGGAGTCTTCTTTGAAAATAACCTCTATTACTCTAAAGTATTAAAGTGTGAGAAAAATGGGGACCATAAAATAACCCCCCAAATTAAGATGGTTCATTGGCTGTGAGACTTCTGGTGGTCTAGTGGTTAAGACTATGCATCCACTGCAGGGGCCATGGGTTCCATCCCTGGTTGGGGAAGTTCTGCATTCTGAGAGGTATGGCCAGTAAAAAAAAAAAAAGATGGTTCATTGGCCATGGCTGAATTTAAACTAGGAAACTTGGAGATTTGGGATGAGCCCAAGGTGAGTTTTTCCTTGTGAAGAGGACATCCATCAGTGAGGAGGTAAAGAGAAGCAGACCCAGGATGCCTGACAGAGCAGCCCCAGGAGCTATGGCCTGAGCCCGAAGCCCAGGGAGGTGTCAGGCTTGCTCTGCAGACAAGTGGGACCTTTGTACTTGACGGAGGATGAATTTACTATTACCCACTGATTGGGAAATAAGGTTGTTAAATGAGCCCCACTTAACTAAAGTGAATAAGCTTACTTGAAATGATTAAAAAAAAAAATTCTTCAGCAGTCTGTGCTAACGGTCTTTTTCTTCCCCCTTTGATTGTAGACAGAATTCGTGGCTACTTTGGAGAAACCATCGCTCTTTATTTTGGCTTTCTGGAGTATTTCACGTTTGCCTTAATCCCCATGGCCATCATTGGGTTACCTTACTACTTGTTTGCATGGGAAGACTATGACAAGTATGTGATCTTCGCCTCGTTCAACCTGATCTGGTCCACGGTGATCTTGGAAGTGTGGAAGCGAGGCTGTGCCAGCATGACCTACCGGTGGGGTACCCTGGTCATGAAGAGGAAGTTCGAGGAGCCCCGGCCGGGCTATCACGGAGTCCTGGGCGTCAATGCAGTCACTGGCCGGGAGGAGCCGCTCTACCCCAGCTACAAGAGACAGCTGCGCATTTACCTGGTCTCCCTGCCCTTCGTGTGCCTCTGTCTGTATTTCTCTCTGTTTGTCATGATGATTTACTTCGACATGGAGGCCTGGGCCTTGGGTCTGCACGAGGACAGCGGGTCCGAGTGGACCAGCATCTTGTTGTATGTGCCCAGCATCATCTATGCCATCGTGATTGAGGTCATGAACCGCCTCTATCGATACGCCGCTGAGTTTTTAACCTCATGGGGTAAGACTTGACGCTTTGTATTTATGTCTTATCTGCCTATAAGAAACATTGCTTCTATCATAGGATTCTTAGAACCACTACCTGGCAAAGCAGATAGATGTTGCTCTGGGCTCGTTGTAGAGACATAAGGAGAAGTTCATGGGCTCTGGGGACTCCCATGATCTCCAGGTCACGGTTCTCACAGCTCTGATGTATCATTAGTTACTATGTTCTAGGTGCCCTGCTAAGTACTTTATCCATAGTTCCTCATTTTCCCTTCCTCAGGGCACCATGAAATAGAAGTTATTTCACAATTTTGTGGAGAAAGATACTGAGCGTTATCAAGGTTCAGACAGCAAATGGCAGAGCCAGGCTTATCCAACCTGTGCTTCTCATACTATATTGTGTTTTATGCTAGGGATAAGATTGACTGAATCATCACTGTATTCTGTGTCTAGGATCTGAAAACCACTTGTGTAATTGTGTGGGGCACAGGCCTGCCATTGAACTCAGTGAAGGAGGCTGTTCTTGTCTGTCTGTGTGGTAAAAGATGAATTTGGTTATAGTTTAAAAAGGGTCTTGATAGGCAGTTTTCTCTTTAATTAATTTATTCAGTCAAACAAATAAATATGCTATTAATATATTAACCCCTAGGAAGAAGTCTAGGCCTGAACTTCTGGACCATACAGATATTTTAAATTCTTTATATTAGTTATATAACAACAGACACTATTTATTTGGGACTTCTCTGGTGTCTCAGACGGTAAAGAATCTGCCTGCAAAGAATCTTCCTGCAATGCGGGAGACCCAGGTTTGATCCCTGGGTCAGGAAGATCCCCTGGAGAAGGAAACGGCAACCCACTCCAGTATTCTTGCCTGGGAAATCGCACAGACAGAGGAGCCTGGCGGGCTACAGTCCATGGGGTCTCAAAGAGTCGGACACGACTGAGTGACTAACACACACCATTTATTTCTTTTTGTTCTCATAAGCTTTTTAAAAAAACTTTTATTGGAGCATAGTTGCTAGCTACTATTTGCCGAGTGCTTTCCTTGAGCTGAGCTATGGTTTTTGTAGTATTTCTAATCCTGACTAACCCTGGGAGAAGGGTAGCGTCAGGCCTGTTTTGTAGGCAAGGAGGCTGAGTGTCAGGAGGTCAAGTAACTTGCCCAAGGTCGCACAGTGACTGACTGACCGAGTTTAGGTTCAAATCCAGGTCAGCCTAACATTACCTCTCTGTGCAAGGTGATACTTCTGTTCAGAATCTGCCTCTTTTGTCCTTTTGCCCTGCTGTGGTGTCTCAGCAGTAAAGAAAGCCTGCCAATGCTGGAGATGCAGGTTTGCGCCCTGGGTCTGGAAGATTCCTTGGAGAAGGAAATGGCAACCCACTCCAGTATTCTTGCCTGGAGAATCCCATGGACAGAGGAGCCTGGCAGGCTACAGTCCATGGAGTTGCAAAGAGTCAGACACATCTAAACAATAATAACAACTTGGGACCTGCACAGTGTCTCTTTTTCTGAGGATGGAAACTTGAGTTTCCTTTTAAATTAATCCTTGTAAATTTGATTCCTTGCCCTACTACTCTTCAGAGGTTGCTCTCAATTTTACTATCACTGCTCACACAGTCTTTTCTGGTGGCTGTGTGTGGGATCATTTCTTTGTTGCATTAACATTTTAAAAAATAATTTCAGACCACAGTGCTATTTCAGTACCTCGAAAAATGTGTCTGTAGTTTATTTGTTGTTTGATGTTCTTGGTGGGTGGGAAGCCGTAGCCGTGATGGGCTGTGTAGCGCGGTTACTGATTGAGGCTCTGTGGTTGGACATGGCTGCCCTCAGCACAGGCTTCACCTCACCTCATGACAACTCCCGTTCTGCTTTCTTATCTGAGAGACATTACTTCTCCCTTTTAATATTTTAGAGAATCACAGATTGGAATCTGCCTACCAGAATCACCTAATTCTGAAAGTGTTAGTGGTAAGTAGAACTTTTATATACAGATCCATTGTAATTATGAAACTAGTGTATACTGTTTAACATTTAGGACTATAAATATGAAGACTTGATTGTAATTTAAAATATCAGGTGATAGTAGTTAATATACTTTGTCCAGAAAGGCAAGGATTGATTAATAAGTATATTTATATACACACTCAGCAGTCTTATTACAAATGTGTCCATGATATAAGACTTTAAATATAAAAGTTAGTATTATAGCCAATTTCCAGTTGTTTGAAACACTATAGACATGTTTCTATTATTTTCCTTTTTTTGACTCAGGTTTGAATGTTTCATTATTCACCAATCTTTCCAGTTACCCACCTACTATTTAGTGATAGAGTGCTAAATTATTATTTTTTAAAATTTTGTCTAAGGAATTTCCAAAGTCCAAGAGGTTTCTAGCATGTTTTGAAGGGCAGGAGGAAAGGGATGGAGGGTAAGTACTGTGTAACCTGCTTGCTGCTTATGTAAAAGCTCACAATTATGCCTCTTCCCACCATTATTAGAAATAAGAAAGAGGTGGCTTGAAAGCACCTTGTGTGTCAGGAGATTACCTCAGCCATCTGTAACATAGCTGAGAATCAAGAAAGGTGCATAAAGAGTCCTCTGAACTCTGCAGTTCTGCACTGGAATTGATTTAACACAGTCCGTGTACTTTACTCCCGAGAGAGGAATCCAGGCCCTCGCTTAGAAAGAGCCTTTGTTCCAGCTCCAGAAGTCATTCTGAGAAGCTTATTTATCTGGTTTTTCCATCCTTAAAGGATCAGAAGCCATCATTAGGAAGGTGATTAGGTTTCTGCAAGTAGGTACATTTATAGAAGCAAGAGTAGGGAAGGAAATAGAAAACCTCTCATAAATAAGTAATGAGACTTCAGCAGCTTTAGCAATTTGGACATTAGAAAAGGGGCAAGCAGCCATCTGTATCTAAAAAGGCTCTGAGGGCTTCATTCTAGCCCTGTAAAATAATTCAAAATGTTGGTGCTGACTCAGCAAGGATATTACGTTCTGTATTGTCTGTGTGAGAATGTGAACACGGGAATGTGTGATGCATTAAAAGATTCTTTGAAAAGATCACAAAACAGAGCTCTTGCCCTTAGAGGTAAAACACCCCATTTGTCTTAAAGAATTTAGCCATTTGTAACACCAGGTTACTCTCTGTTGGTGCTAGATACAGTGACAGGTGACTCTCTTATAAAAAGACTCACTCCTGAGAGTCTGCTCATCCTCTCCTGTGCGTGTTAGGTCTCTCTCTTCCCTTTCAATTTATTTAAAAAAAAATTTTTTGGGGGGGTCCATGCCACTCCCCATGTGGGATCTTGGTTTCCTGTTTCCTGACGAGGGATCAGACTTATTCCCCCTGCACTGGCAGTGTGGGGTCTTAAGCACTGGACCTTCAGAAAAGTCCCACTCTCCCTTCCTGTTTAATCTTCTGGGGAGGATGTTTCTCAGCCTTCCGAGCTTTTGCTGGTCTACTTCTACTGTAGCTTAGCACCCCCACCCCTACCCCTGCCCCAGATTATGTCACTGCTCACTCTCTCCATCGACTCCCCCTTCCGTGGCTAATGAAGTGCTCACACTGCACACAGCAGTCTTCTGTCTCAGAAAGCAGCGTTGGAAACCCAGAAGTAGCCAGCGTGGAGCTGGGGGACAGGAGGGAATCTCGAGTGTCCCGGAGGTAGTTGCAGGTTCTTGAGCAGGTGAACTAGTGGAAGAAATGGCACCTGTTGGGGGCTTCCCTGGTGGTCCCGTGGGGAAGACTCCACGCTTACAGTGCAGGGGGCATGGGTTCCATCCCTGTTCAGGGAACCGAGATCCCACACGCCCGCATGGCGCCACCAAAAAAAAAAAAAAAAGGGAAATGGCAGTTGTTAGGGTGGGATCCCTACCCCCACTTCTACACCCCCGCCCCCTGGACCAGGTGTCTGGGCAGGGCAGTCTCAGGCCCATGGAGACAAAGATGCTACCCGGCTGGCTGCTGTGGCTCGTCTCTCTTGCTCTTGCCACCCGGCTTCCTAGGTGTGCCTCTGGGAGAGTGGGGGTGTCTCAGATTCCTGGGGCACAGAGAGGCTTCCAGGGCTGGGCTGCTTGTTGGGTTGGGTCCCTTTTTACTGGGTCCTGACCCCTCCATCCAGGTATCTTCTCTGTGGGGTGGGGAGTGGCAGGCCTGGCAGGGCAGAGAGGAAGGAGAGCACATCCCCTGGTAGCTCATTGTTAGCGACGCTGGGCTTGCCTGTTGTAGGACTCCTATTCTAAGCAGGGTGGGCAGGGACTGTGCCTCCCTGGGCTGCCCAGATTACGAGGTTGGAGGTGGGAGACACTGAAGTCTCTTTTGTAAGAAGTAGTAGGGACGTAAGATGTACTGATGCTGTGTAGTCCTCTCAGCACCTTTCCGAGTTCCGCTTTGGTCGCGTCTCAAGATATTTCTGGAGTTCGTAGGTGTGCTTCCTGATGGGGGGCGTAGGAGAAACAAGTCTTTGCCATCTTGTTGGGACCAGAAGTCCCTCATGACGTCTTTAAATGTGATATTTACAGTTGTGTCGTGGTCTGTATGTGTTGGGAAAAGAATTTCCAAACAAGAGGCAGAATGAGAGGAAAATAGAGTTTATTAGAGCAGGAACAGCGGGTCGGCTTAAGGGAGAGCAGATGGTTTTCCTGGGTTGGTAGCCAGTCTTTACAGCCTCAAGACAAAGAAAATACCTGCTAGAAGGATGGCATTAAGTGATTGGTTAGGGTGGGTATTTTTACCTAATATGGGGTTAGGGAGCTGGCCAATTTAGATCAGGAAGGCTCATGGCCATGGCTGCTATGGGGCTTGCTCAGTTCCAGAGATGCCCTTGGTATGGGGTGCTGCATCTGTGGCCTTGGTATAAGGCTCCACAAATTGTAATAAAGTTCAGTGACGCAATATTAAATATTGCTCTCTCTCTCTTTTTTTTTTTTGGCAGTTCAACTTTCTGAATTGCTTTGCCTCACTTTTCTACATTGCCTTTGTCCTGAGGGATATGAAGCTTTTGCGTCAGGTGAGTGTGAAAAACAGAAGGTATCAATTTTTTTGATTTGCAAGGTGGTTTCATATAGTATAGTAATGTAATGGTCTTCCCCTTATTATCTTGACAAAATTATTAAATTTTGTGTATTTCTAAGCTCAGTCCTAAAAAAAAACGATTAGCAATTGCACTATGTATTGTGCTCAACTGGAAAGAAATTAGTTGAAGCTAACCAAAGTGCAAAATTAATCATTTAGGGCACTAAAATCAAATATATAGTTCATACCAAAACTTGTAAAAGCAATTTTAACAGCAAAAAAACGAATGCATCAATTGAACTTTTATGTGTGTCTCAGGGTGGGGGTGATTGGTACAACCTTAAGTAGGTCTTCCACATTTCATTTTTAAACTAGTAAGTTGTTAAACTTTGCAGACCAGCAGATGCTACGCAGTGTTGTATCATTTCTGAGATATTTATGAAAGTCTGACATATATTTTGTTGTGTTACCACTTCTGGATCTCATAATCATAGTGAATAAGTATAAATTATTGCTTTCTAAATTCCCTCTCTCTCTCTCTTTTTAATACTTGAGCCACCTACCAGTAAGGGCTGTTCTTTTCTGGTTTTGATATACTGCGATTGTTAGTGTCTCAAAGTTTAGGTTTCTTAATCTTTATATGAGAACTTGGGATCATTTTTCAAGAAATTTAAAAATGTGTATAACAGAGAAAGTTAAAAAGATTTTGCAGTTATAGTTCTAAAAGCTGACATAAAAGTAAAATACTGTGTTCCTAGTAACTATACTAAATATAATGCTACTTTTGCAAATTATTTTTGAAAATAATGCATTTGGAATCAATAGGTTAAACATACATACCTTCTCCAGTCCCACCATTAGTGTATTAGTGAGATATGACCCCTTATTTCTTATACTTTTGAGAGTCTCCTTTATTTAACAGGGGATGAGGGGCAGGAAAGAACTCTTTGAAACAAAGAATTTTAATATCAGCAAAGGTGGTTTGTGATGGAAACACTGATTCAGCCTACCTGGGAAGAATGGAAATTGACACAATACCTCTGGAAACCACTTGAGTAACTTTCCTAAGAAACTTATTCCATTCCTAGTAAATCACCAAAAGTGGGATGAAGATTCATGCATGTAGGTGAGGAGCAGCACTTATAACAATGGGAGTTGGACATAGTACTTACATTCAACCACAGTGCATGGGCTAGTAAAAAAGAATTATTCATGACATGGGAAAGTGCTCACAGGTTAGTGAGAAAAGAAATCTGCAAAGCTCTATACATACAGATGTTCTACTTTTGTTTTTACGTATGATTAGGAAGAAATACTTAAGTAAGATGTTAGCAGTGGTTCTGACATGGTTGTGCAGTTAAGGCTGACTTTTTTTTTTTAAGTTTTTCTACAGTGAGGGAGGATATATTAGTTTTGTAGTAAGTTCTGACTAAACTTTAGAAGGGAGAGAACATCATTTCAACTCACATGAGACTGTAAAAAACACAATTTCAATTTAATTTGTTGTCCTCCCAACTCATAACCAGTTTTCTATTATAATCTTATTTGTATTATACTCTTTTTGTATTTTAGTCTGTCTGTCTTGCGAAGAAACAGTAATTTAGAAACATCATTCTAACACTTAGCTCTTCTTTATTTTTTTTTATACCTAGCTTTTCTGATACTAGTTTTTATAACATAATAATACATTATTTGTTAGGATTCTTTTTTTTACTGCATAATTGTACACATGCTTTGGTTTTGTTAAGCCACATTGCCAAATATCATTTATGTGCTTCTCTTTAGAGCTTGGCTACTCTCCTGATCACCTCCCAGATCCTTAACCAAATTGTGGAATCTCTTCTTCCTTATTGGCTCCAAAAGAAGCACCATGTGCGGGTGAAGAAGAAGGTGGAAGCTCTAAAGGCAGACATCGATGCTACATTATATGAACAGGTCGTTCTGGAAAAGGAAATGGGAACTTATTTGGTAAGTTTGGATATTGCTGAATTAAACATTGAAAGTGAATAATAGCAGTCATGTCCAGACTGTATACAACAAATATGTACATATTCATCGTCTCAGGTATGACTGTTCTGTAAGTGCTTTCCAGCCAGTTTCCTTACCATGAAGTACTTCACAGTTAAAAAGATGGAAGAGTGTGTCAAGATGCTGCTGTCTTGAACCTGAAGTTTATGCCTAACATCCAAAGGATGAGTCCGATGAATTGTGAGGCTGCTGTGCTGAGGGTGGTGGGGATGTTTCCAAGATGGCACACCAGGGGAGAGGCAAGACAGCCGTGGAACCATTGTGTGCTCTGGATGCTTTGTACTCAAAAAATGGAAGCCCATTGCTCACAGTGGAAGGCCACTTTTCTCTTGTTAACAATAGGTAGATAAAGCTCTGTGTTGTTAATCACTTGGTGTCTAAAGAAATAAGATTCAAGACTTTTCTATTCAGAGTCTTTCTGTTACTCAGCATGGGCTCTCGGATGTGAAGTGAAGGAAGCAGTGTACTAATTTCCCTCCCAGGCGGTGGATCTATGAGTGAACGCTGGGTTTAAATGTCTCTCTCCTTAGTAACTTTCTTGCCCCGCCACCTGCTCCAGGCAGTGGGTCTGTGAGTGAATGCTGGGGTTCAACAGTGTCTCTCCTGAGTATCTTAACTTGCTTGCAGGGTCCTGCATTATCTGACCATTCTTTCCGCCTCATCTCCTACAAGTTCCTCCTTCACTCTCTTTACAAGATCGACATCAGATATTGCTGTTTTAACTCTCTCCATTTATTTGGAAATGGGGTTGTGCTTTGGGGATGCATTTGTTCTAGATTGTTGTTTGCTATGCACTCATCCTTACCCCCAGGTACATTGGTTCCTCACTGAAGCCAGTGAGCTTAGAATTGTGTTTTCTGTAAAATCTTCCTGAGTGCTACATGTGAATCTAAAACAGTGTTGCCAAGCTTTGGGAAAAAGGAGTTTGACTGAGACTAAAACATTATTCCAAAGAGTTAATACTTGCTTACTCAATGTAGAAAGCTTGGAAAATGTGAGACAGAGTATAAGGAAAAAGAAATCCTCCATAATGTCTCCACCAGAGGTCATCCACTGGGGTCTCCTGACCCAGTTCTTCCAGTAACAGGGCCAGGGCTGCGTAGCCCCTCAGATCTCACTGTGCACTGCTGTCCCACTCCTGGGAGCAGTTCATATCCAACCACAGAGCTGTGTGAGGCTGAGTTTTCATGGTGAGTATTCCAACCAGAATACTGTATTGACACACAGCAAACGAGCTGCCTTCTCACGAGCTAGGCATCAAAAATGTGTGCCAAAGATGTAAGTGAGCACCACCTTCCACACTCATCATTTTTTATTTTGGAAGATGTAATTATTTTTCAAACAATATTTTATTTATGTTAATATGCTTTTTGTTATTAAAATGAGTCAATGAGAAATATTTTTTCAGTTCAGCTTTTTAATTTCTAACACAGTAAATAATGCTAGGTATAATAACTTTTAGGAACAAAAAGTCTTTGATGTCGTCAGTGATTTTAAAGAGCTCAGGGCTTTGGAGACCTGAAGGTTTGAAAACTGCAGATCTAGAGTAATCCCCCCCACCTTTTTGTTTTTCAGAGCATGAATTTTGTGAAGCCAGTTTGTCCCGTTGTTTCCCCCACGCCGAGATTCAGGTTCAGCAGTTTTGGAGGTGGACCTCCATTAGGGTCGGGAGTGGGTTGCTCCATGTGTAGCACTGCCTTGTTAGATTACATGACTGACCCGGTGACAGACAGTTTGGAAAGGTTCTTTTTCGCTTAGGTTCTTTTGCGCTTTGCATTGACTAGGTCATCTGTGATAGATACCGAGACTCTCCCATTCCCTACAAATGGTAGTTCTTTAAAAATAATTTGTTTGTTGCTGGCATATAGGAATGCTCATTGATTTTTATCTTTTATCCAGAAACTTTGCAGAATTCTCCTATTATTTCCAACTTTTAAAAATTTTATTGGATTTTTGTATGTAGACAGTTATTTCAGCTACAAATAAAAAATGGACATTTTCTTTTTTAATTTTAAATTTATTAATTTTTAATCAAAGAATAATTGCTTTACAGTACTTTGTTGGTTTCTGCCAAACATCAACATGAATCAGTCATAGGTATACATATGTCCCCTGATATTTTCTTTTTCAATTTTAATTTTATTAAGTGTAGTTGATTTACAGTGTTAATCTCTGCTGTACATCAAAGTAATTCAGTTATTTTGTTGTCATTGTTTAGTTGCTAAGTTGTGTCTGACTCTTTGTGACTCCATAAACTGCAGCACGCCAGGCTTCTCTGTCCTTCATTATCTGCCAGAGTTTGCTCAAATGCATGTTCTTGATTCAGTGATGCCATCCAACCATTTTGTCCTCTGTCATCCCCTTCTCCTCCTGCCCTCAGTCTTTCCCAGCATCAAAGTCTTTTCCAACCAGTCAGCTTTTCACATCAAGTGGCCAAAGTATTGAAGTTTCAGCTTTAGCATCAGCCCTTCCAGTGAATATTCAGGGTTGGTTTCCTTTAAAATTGACTGGTTTGACCTCCTTGCTGTCCAAAGGACTCTCAAGAGTCAGCTCCAGTACCACAGTTTGAAAACATCAGTTCTTTGGTGCTCAGCCTTCTTTGTAGTCCAACTCTCACATCCATACATGACTATTGGAAAAATCATAGCTTTGACTATATGGACCTTGTTGGCAAACTGATGTCGCTGCTTTTTAATATGCTGTCAGGATTTGTCATAGCTTTTCTTTCAAGAAGCAAGCGTCTTTTAATTTCATGGTTGCAGTCACTGTCTGCAGTGATTTTGGAGCCCAAGAAGATAGTCTGTCACAGTTTGCATTGTTTCCTCATCTATTTGCCATAATGTGATGGGACCGGATGCCGTGATCTTTATTTTTTTGAATGTTGAGTTTTAATTCAGCTATTTCACTCCCATCTTTCACCTTCGTCAAGAGGCTCTTTAGTTCCTCTTCACTTTCTGCCATTAGAGTGGTATCATCTGCATATCTGAGGTTGTTGATATTTCTCCCGGCAATCTTGACTCCAGCTTGTGCTTCATCCAGCCTGGAATTCTATGTGATGTACTCTGCATTGAAATTAAATAAGCAGGCTGACAATATACTCCTTTCCCAGTTGTGAAACAGTCTGTTGTTGTTCCATATCCGTTCCAAATTGTTGCTTCTTGACGTGCATACAGGTTTTTCAGGGGGCAAGTATATATATATATGAAAAGGAAAACACATATACACATGGTCTACCTACCATGGTTTATTGCAGGATATTGAATATAGTTCCCTGTGCACATTTACTTGGACCTTGTTGTCTCTCCGCCCTATATATAATATTATGGTTTGTGTCTGCTGATTCCAAACTCTTAGCCCTACCCCCTTCACTAATGGCTATTTACCTTCTTCCTTCAGTCCTTAAACTTTTTATTGTTTGACACACTAATATGTTCAATACAATTTGGACACAAATAGTTATAACAGGAATCTTTATCTTGTTCCTGATTTTATTTTTCCTGACCTTTGAGTATTACGTTTGTTCCATGTTTTTGGTAGTAACTTAATCAGTTTGAGAAGTTTTTTCTCTTTCCTATTTGAGAAGAATTTTTATCGTGAATGATGTTGAATTTTATCAAAAAGCATTTTTTTTTGCTTCTGTTGCTATCATCTTACCTCCTTTAATTAGTATTTTCATAGTTTCTTAATGGACCACCACGTTTGCACTTAAGTGATTAACTTCACTAGCTCAGTATTCTACATTGTGATGTTGAATATGCTCATATTTTTTAGGGTTTGTGCCATTTGCTAGCAGTTTTCCTTTCTCAGTCCCTGGGATAGGGTCTCCCTGTTACTTATCGTGGAAACTCTGCTGCTAACTGAGAGCCTGGCATTCAGCAGACACTCAGTTCAATGTCAAATAAAGGACAACTTCAGGAAAAGAGCGGCTCAGCCCCTGCTGTGTGCTGCCTGTTGCCTGCATCCTGTACTTTCTTTCCTTCTCAAGTACTCTGGGTGGGAAACTCTGAGACATGATGTTTCTCCAGGGGCAGTGTGAGGGGCTGGTGGGATGGATCCCCTGAAACCTGAAACTTGGTTTTCATACATGTAATAAATTAGATTTGTAAAATTACTATGTCACAGATATAGCATTATAAATAATTGCTTTGTTCTTAAAGTTTGTGAATAAGTCCTCAGAATCATCTTAGTAAGTTGTTCTTTTGTGACTTGCAGCTGATAGAGTAGTGTGTATCTTGGTTAGTGTATCTTTTTAGCGTGTGATTGTTTACTTTGTTAGATTTGGGGTTTTTTTTTTTTTTGGCTTCTTGCTGAAAGATTATCTCCCTGGTCTGCTGAATTGACTGAACCAAAAGTACTCAGAAGTGTCAAAGTACTGATAGTGTTACCATGTAAATACTACCACTGCAAATCCTGTTGTGATATGGAAATGCAGAATGTGGGGTGTGCTGTTCTGTGGGGAAGGGGCTCCCTGGGTTCTGGATGCTAGAAAGGCCAGATGATGTTTATGTGACTTCTGGAGGCTGCCCTGTGGTGCATCAGAGAAAAACTATCATCGACACATCTCTGCAGAGACTTGACCTTTTATTTACAGGCTGAAACAACGCAATTTTGAAAGCCAAGCATAGGCTATCAGGATTTCTTAAGAATGAATTGTGGTAACAATGGCTTGGTTGCTAAGATTTTCACTCTTTCCCAACCCTTGATTTCTTCACTCTTCAGAGAGATAAATCGATGCTATATTGCTGGATGTATTTAAAAACCACATTTGAATGCTGCAACAGAAGATAAGGAAATTCTTTCTAGAGCCAAATGCAACCAAAGAGTTGTTTAGAAACTGTTCACCACTGAATCCCCAGCTGAGTGTCAACCTGCCAGCTCCCAAAACACATGCGGTTGGCATTACTCTTTGGCAAGGCTTGCAGACAGGCAGTGAAACTCACTCAAAATCCCTGGGTTCATTCTTCATCCAAATATCCAGAGCATCTGGAAGAAGCACTTCCCGCCATCCCCAGTACTCTGTAATTCCCCAGTAATTTTGTTTGGGTATTTTGTATTTTAGTAAAATAGAAAACAAAGAGACTGACTAGAAGTAGAATCTGACTTCTACTAAAGCTCTCATCTACTGAACCTGGCATGCATATCTTGGTGAAAGACTGATTGTGAAATACAGTAATAATACTTAAAATTATGAATTTATAATGATCGTTTCATGTTCCTTTAAAATACTGCAGTGAGTGTTTTTCTTAAACTGAAGCTCATTTTTGCATGTGCACTGAATGATCTTGAGAGTGAGAAGGCTGGAAGCTGGTGTGGACGGCCCCCTCACCCCGCCACTGCACCGTGTGGAGCGCTGCTTGGCCCCTCTGGGTAACTGTGTGAGCAGCAGGCCTCTGGGTCCTATGGGGGAGCGGTGATGCTGCTCAGGTGACAGGTCAGAGTCACCAGAGTCCAGGCATCCCACGTCAATGCAGGTGCCTTTCTCCAGTTATTAAAGATCACTCACCTCTCGCAAGAATCCCTTAGAAGAAATGGAGTAGCCATCATAGTCAACAAGAGAGGCTGAAATGCAGTACTTGAATGTAGTCTCAAAAATGACAGAATGGTCTCTGTTCATTTCCAAGGCAAACCATTCAATATCACGGTAATCCAAGTCTATGCCCCAACCAGTAACGCTGAAGAAGCTGAAGTTGAACGGTTCTATGTAGATCTACAAGACCTTTTAGAACTAACACCCAAAAAAATGTCCTTTTCATTATAGGGGACTGGAATGCAAAAGTAGGAAGTCAAGAAACACCTGGAGTAACAGGCAAATTTGGCCTTGGAGTCAGAATGAAGCAGGGCAAAGGCTAATAGAGTTTTGCCAAGAGAAGGCACTGGTCATAGCAAACACCCTCTTCCAACACCTTAAGAGAAGACTGTACATGTGGACATCACCAGGTGGTCAATACTGAAATCAGATTGATTATATTCTTTGCAACCAAAGATGGGGAAGCTGTATACAGTCAGCAGAAACAAGACTGGAAGCTGACTGTGGCTTAGATCATGAACTGCATATTGCCAAATTCAGAGTTAAATTGAAGAAAGTAGGGAAAACCACTAGACCATTCAGGTATGACCTAAATCAAATCCCTTACGATTATACAGTGGAAGTGAGAAATAGATTTAAGGGACTAAGTCTGATAGAGTACCTGATGAACTATGGACAGAGGTTCATGACATTGTACAGGGATCAAGACCATCCCCAAGGTAAAGAAATGCAAAAAAGCAAAATGGCTGTCTGAGGAGCCCTTACAAATAGCTGTGAGAAGAGAAGCAAAAAACAAAGGAGAAAAGGAAGGATATACCCATGTGAATGCAGAGTTCCAAAGAATAGCAAGGAGAGATAAGAAAGCCTTCTTCAGTGATCAGTGCAAAGAAATAGAGGAAAACAATAGAATGGGAAAGACTAGAGATCTCTTCAAGAAAATTAGAGATACCAAGAGAGCATTTCATCAAAGATGGGCTCAGTAAAGGACAGAAATGGTATGGACCTAACAGAAGCAGAAGATACTAAGAAGAAGTGGCAAGAATACACAGAAAAGTTAAAGTTAAGTCGCTCAGTCATGTCCGACTCTTTGTGACCCCATGGACTGTAGCCCACCAGGCTCCTCCATCCATGGGATTCTCCAGGCAAGAATACTGGAATGGGTTGCCATTTCCTTCTCCAGGGAGAATACACAGAAGAACTATACAAAAATGATCTTCATGACCCAGATAATCATGCTGGTGTCATCACTCACCTTGAGCCAGACATCCTGGAATGTGAAGTCAAGTGGGCCTTAGGAAGCATTGCTATGAACACAGCTAGTGGAGGTGATGGAATTCCAGTTGAGCTATTTCAAATCCTGAAAGATGACGCTGTGAAAGTGCTGCACTCAATATGCCAGCAAATTTGGAAAACTCAGCAGTGGCCACAGGACTGGAAAAGGTCAGTTTTCGTTCCAATCCCAATGAAAGGCAATGCCAAAGAATGCTGAAACTACTGCACAATTGCACTCATCTCACATGCTAGTAAAGTAATACTCAAAATTCTCCAAGCCAGGCTTCAGCAATACGTGAACCGAGAACTTCCACATGTTCAAGCTGGATTTAGAAAAGGCAGAGGAACCAAAGATCAAATTGCCAACACCCACTGGATCATCGAAAAAGCAAGAAAATTCCAGAAAAACATCTACTTCTGCCTTAATGACTATGCCAAATCCTTTGACTGTGTGGATCATAACAAACTGTGGAAAACTCTTCAAGAGATGGGAATGCCAGACTACCTGACCTGCCTCCTGAGAAATCTGTATGCAGGTCAAGTCTGATGTTAAAACATTCAATTAACATCTGTGGGGGAGGAGCCTTTAGCACCCAAAGACTCAAATAGGGAGAATTCTTTTGAGTGGAGTCTTCTAGAGCCAGGCCAGATAATGCTTTCCCTTTGGATAAGACTTTCAAAGATCTGCAGCCACATTCTCCTCCCTCTGGTATGGGAATGCATGCTGTTCTTATTTTTCGACGCTGCTGCAGAACTGGGGAGCAGGAGGTGAGACTCAAAATTGAGCTGTTATTCTTGACTAAATGTTTCCATAATTGATACAAAGTGAAAGTGAGTGAAGTTGCTCAGTTCTGTCGGACTCTTTGCAACCCCATGGACTGTAGCCCACCAGGCTTCTCCATCCACAGAATTCTCCAGGCAAGAATACTGGAGTGGGTTGCCATTTCCTTCTCCAGGGGATCTTCCTGACCCAGGGATCGAACCCGGGTCTCCCGCACTGCAGGCAGATGCTTTACCGTCTGAACCACCAGGGAAGCCCATAAATGATACAAGCCTTTGGTTAATTTCCAGAATACTAACAAAGTGGATTTTGACAAATTTTATAGTTAGTTTTTGTTTGCTTTTATGGAGAGGCAAACTTCTGGATGTTCCTACTTTGCCATTTTCGCTGGCATCACCACCATCAAGTTTTTAATGGAAGGTCAAGGGCGGAGATTCTGCAGAACCCATGATGTGAAGGAACCATCATGTAAGATTTCTAATAGTGATATGGATCATTTCTCTTTACTTGGTCAAGAGCAAATTGCTTTAGCTTTGCTGTTATTTACCTTAGGAAAAAACGTAATATTTCAGTGATTTGACGTGATATGAGCAGCAAAATCATTTTTTATTCTTTATTTCAGGGACTTTAATATAAAATGGTCTTTGAATTTAAATTCTGTTGTTGAGAAGAAAGAATTGGGAGAAACTCTTGAGATTTTTATTGTTAGAGGCTCCTGCCTTGAATAGTATTGCGAAAGACTGCTCTTATTCAGTGATATTAAAACAATGCCTGTTTTCTTCTTGTTTACATTTTCAGGGCACCTTTGATGATTACTTGGAGTTATTCCTGCAGTTTGGTTATGTGAGCCTTTTCTCCTGTGTTTACCCACTGGCAGCTGCCTTCGCTGTGCTAAATAATCTCACTGAAGTTAATTCAGATGCCTTAAAAATGTGCAGAGTCTTCAAACGTCCGTTCTCAGAACCCTCAGCCAGTATTGGTGTATGGCAGGTAATTATTTGAGAAAAAATAATTTTTAAAAAAAATTTTAAAATGAAGCATTGTGATTTTAAATAAAAGCTCTATGGAGAGTTCTGGAAAAGTACCATCCAGTAATAGAATCTAATCCATGTTATGGAACTTTCTACTCAACAATAGTAGAATATACTTTCTTTTCGAGTGTTTATAGAACATGCAACAATATGGACCATCTGCTGGGGCATAAAACATACTTCAAAATTTTTAAGAATTGAGCACAATGTGCTCTGTGACCATGATGGAACCAAATTGAAAATCAGTAACAGAAAGATGATAGGAAAATCACCAAACACTTAAAAACTAAACACCGCATTTGTAAATAATCATGGGTGAAAGAGAAAGTGTGAAGTGTGAGAATTGTCTCTTCTTTCTTATTAGTCTTGTTAGAGGTTTGACAATTGATCTTTTCCAAGGAAGAACTCTTTGTTTCATTGATCTCTGTTATTTTACTGCTTTCAATTTCATTGATTTGTACTCTTATCTTTATTATTTCCTTTCTGATTCTTTTGTGTTTACTTTGTTCTTTGTTTCTAGTTTCTTGAGTAGGAGCTTAGACTATTGATTTGAGATTTTTCCTCTTTTCTGGTATATGCCTTTAGTTCTACAAATTTCTTTGTTAGCACTGCTTTACTTGTATCCCCAAAAGTTTGATATGCTGTGTTTTCATTTTCAATCAGTTCTTTGTATCTTTTGGCTATATATCATCTTGAATGAAATAGACCAGTTTCTCCAAAAGTACAAACTACCACAACTCACTCAATGTGAAATAGGTAGTTTGAGTATCCTCAGAATACAAGGAAATTGAATATGCAATTAAAAATTCCCAAAAAAGAAATGTCCTGGCCCAAGTGGTTTTACTGGCAAATTCTAACATTTAAAGTGAAATTGACATCAATTTTACATAATTTGTCGCAGAAAACAGAGGAGGAAGGAATACTTTCCAATTCATTCTGTGAAGTTAGTATCAGTATGGTAATATATCAGGACAGAGAATGAAAGAAGATAACAAACTAATATCTGTTGTCAATAAATACATAGAACAACTTTCAGTTTGGTTTAGTCGCTCAGTTGTGTCCGACTCTTTGCGACCCCATGGACTGCAGCACGCCAGACTTCCCTGTCCATCACCCTCCAGGAGCCTACTTAAACTCATGTCCATCGCGTCAGTGATGCCATCCAGCCATCTCATCCTCTGTCGTCCCCTTCTCCTCCCACCTTCAATCTTTCCCAGCATCAGGGTCTTTTCTAGTGAGTCAGTTCTTCGCATCAGATGGCCAGAGTATTGGAGTTTCAGCTTTAGCATCAGTCCTTCCAATGAATATTCAAGACTGATTTCCTTTAGGATAGACTGGTTGAATCTCCTTGCTGTCCAAGGGACTCTCAAAAGTCTTCTCCAATACCACAGTTCAAAAGCATCAATTCTTCGGTGTTCAGCTTGCTTTACAGTCCAACTCTCACATCCATACGTGACTACTGGAAAAACCACGGCTTTGACTAGATGGACCTTTGTTGGCAAACTAGTGTCTCTGCTTTTTAATATGCTGTCTAGATTGATTATAGCTTTTCTTCCAAAGAGAAGTGTCTTTTAATTTCATGGATACAGTCACCATCTGCAGTGATTTTGGAGCCAAAAAAAAAAAATAGTTTCCCACTGTTTCCATTGTTTCCCCATCTATTTGCCATGAAGTGATGGGACTGGGTGCCTTGATCTTAATTTTCTTAATGTTGAGTTTTAAGCCAAGTTTCTCACTCTCTTCTTTCACTTTCATCAAAAGGCTCTTTCTTTGCTTTCTGCCATAAGGGTGGTGTCATCTGCATATCTGAGATTATTGATATTTCTCCCAGCAGTTTTGATTCCAGCTTGTGCTTTTTCCAGCCCAGCATTTCTCATGACGTACTCTGTGTATAAGTTAAATAAGCAGGTTGACAATATGCAGCCTTGATGTACTCCTTTCCCAATTTGGAACCAGTCTGTTGTTCCATGTTCAGTTCTAACTGTTGCTTCTTGACCTGAATACAGATTTCTCAGGAGACAGGTCAGGTGGTCTGGTATTCCCATCTCTTTTAAGAATAGCTTAATAATATCTTAACTAATAAGATTTAGCAATATATGAGGAGAATTATATACCATGACAAGTAGAATTTTGTCCAGGGATGCAAGCTCTGGTTCTGTATTCAAAATCAACCAGTGTAGTTTACCATATTAATATTCCAAAGAAGAAAAAAAAATCTCATGATTGTATCAGTCAGTATATATAAAGCATTTGGCAATATCCAACACTCATTCATTTTTAAAACTCTCAGAAACATAGGAATAGAAGAATACTGCTTCAAATTAATAAGGAAAATCTATTTCAAAAAACTTAAAGCTAACAGCCATACTTGTTAGTGAAAGATTGAATGCTTTCTAAGATTAGGAACAATGCAAGAATGTCCACTGTCACCACTTTTATTGAATATTGTTCTAGAAATTCTAACTAGCCTCCTCAGGCCAATTATGTCTCCAATTTACCCACCCACTGACCACATGTACATGAGGAATCCCAGTCAAGGTCAGCTAGACCAAAAAAATCCCCTAGATAAGCATAGTCTAAATTGTCCACCTGCAGAATAATGAACTAAAGAAATGATTGTTGTTTTTAAGTTACAGAGTCTGGGATGATTTGTTACACAGCAATACCTGACTAATATAGGAAGACTCAATATCCTAAATGTATCAGTTCTCCTTTAATTTAAAAATAAATTAATCTACAAGTTAGCTTATAAATGTAGCACTATCCCCATGGAAGTTTTTCTTTTAATTAGATAAACTTACTGTCAAGTTCACAGGGAAAAAGAAATGAAGTAGAATAGCAGGAAAACTGTAAGGAAGGGCAGGGACACGCCTTCCTACATATTAAAATGTGTTACATAACCTCAGTCATTAAAGTAGAGTGGTGCTGGTGCATTATTCAGACAGATCAATGGAACAAAATAGAAAGTCCAGAAATTCAATATGTGATATAGGTGAAATCTGTTAAATGGAGAAAATCATCAACAGTCTACTGATGGTATTGGGGTAATTAAATCTCCAAATGAGGGGGTAAGGGAGTTGGCTCTTCAAAAGTTAAGAGGGAAACAAAGGCAAGACACAGAAGGAGAGAAAATATTCACAACACATACGTCTGCCAGAGAACTTGTGTTCAGATTATGTGAAGGACTCCTACAACTCAGTAATAAGGCAATTAAATAAAAACATGGACAAGATTTGAAGAAATGCTTCACCAGAGAATATATGCAAATGGTCAGTGAACTCAAGGGAAGTTTTAGAATTAGCTACCAGAGAAAAGCACAAAAAAACCACAGTGAGATCGCACTATATACCTGTTTTAAAATGAAGACTAAAAAAATGAAGACTAATGGTGCCAAGTGTTGGCAACAGTGTGTAGTACCTGGAGCTCTCATACATTACCAATAAAAATGTGAATAGTTACTTTGCAAAACTAAATTGTGGTTTGTGGGAAAAAAAAATTCAACATATACCTACCACACCCCAGCATCTCTGTTCTTAGAAATCCAGGGGAAAGAACATATCCCTGCAAAGACTGCACAGAAGTGTCCATGGTAACTTTATTCAGAATAGTCCAAGACTGGAAACAACCCCATTTGCCAAACAACACACTAGGTAAATGGGTAAAAAAACATGATATATTCATACAATGGAGCACTACTCAGCAATAAAAAGAAGAATAAATTATTGATAACATATAATATGGATCAACCTCAAAATCATGTTGAGTGAAAGAAGGAGATAAAAGCATATATACTGTGTGAATCTAACTATATAAAATTCTGGAAAAACAAACTAATACATAGTGACAAAAAAATAGATCAAAGCCTGCTTGGTGCCAGGTATAGAGGGAGGGGTGGATTGCAAAGCATTGTGAGGAATCTTTGGGGGGAAATGGAAATATCCTGTTTGTGATAGTGGTTTCCCAGGTGAGCATAGCTTAATAAAGTATATACCATAAATGAGTGCAATTTATTATATGTAAATTATAACTCATGATAAGTGATATTTAAAAATCGAAAAGTTTAGATAGAAATGCATTAAAAATGCAGGAAGTCAGACACTGTCCTGTGCTGCCGATGGGAAGGCAAACTGGTCAGCCCTGGGGAGTTCAGCTTGGTACTGTCTCTCAGAATAACGAATACAGTGGCACCTTTGACTCAACTATTCCACTTTCAGGAATTTATCCTACTTCCACACTTCTTAAAGGATGTGTTTGCAAAGTTTCTAATTGTAGCATTGTTTGTAATAATAACCAATAAGGAAATGATTAAATATACCTTGGTACATTCATGCGATAAAATACTTAAGCAGTTGTGACTTAAGTCTTAAGTTGTGACTTAAGAATGATGATCTCCACCAGCCCAGGTTGGATGCATGAGACAAGTGCTTGGGCCTGGTGCACTGGGAAGACCCAGAGGGATCGGATAGAGAGGGAGGTGGGAAGGGGGATCGGGATGGGGAATACATGTAAATCCATGGCTGATTCATGTCAATGTATGACAAAACCCACTACAATATTGTAAAGTAATTAGCCTCAAATTAATAAAAATAAATGGAAAAAAAAAACCTAAAAAGAATGATGATCTCTGTGTCCTGACATGGAATAACTTCCACAGCATTTTAAGTGACCAAAGCAAGGGACTTGACAATGTGTATTATGCTGAAAGGAAAATAAGAAAGTATATGTGCAAGTTTGCTTATATTTGTTTGCAAACAAAGTGTCTGGAAAGTTATATAAGAAATTAATGATAGTGGTTATCTTGTGGATAGAACAGAGACTGACATGGGGAGAAAGGGGACAAGGAGACTCTTCCTGTACACTGATAACATTTGATTTTTGATTGAATTTATAATAATTAAATAAATAGAAATTTAAATCTAGTTTAAGAAAATGTAAAGTCCTATGTAGATTTGTTATAAAGAAAACTGTCAAAAAATAATAAGATTACACAAAGGATTTTTTAAAAATACAAGATGGTAGATAATCTTCATGGGACAAGATTTTATTAAGTTGAGCTTCAATCATGTTTTGTTTTGCTTCTGTATTTCTAGTGGTAATTGCATTTCTTAGAATTAGTAAGTTCTTAAGTAGTGATCACCAAGTGCTGTGCACACAAAAAAGGAAGACGAGAACAACGATCACAACGTTTCCCCAGTCCACACTCGGTAATGTGCACTGGTCTCCTCGTGGGACCCTGGATCAGAGGTCTTAGTAGGTCTCAGTGGGGCCTGGTATCTGTGTTTTTCTAAAGTTCTACAGGTGATTTGGTAAATGCCACTAGAAAGAGATCATTGTAACTGGTGCCTTGGGTATGGCTGAACCAGATGTGATGTGTGGTCTGTTAAGTAGGACAGTTTCACAAAATGAATTCTATTTAAAGTCATCTTTGTTTTTGAATATAAAACATTCTCTCTGATTGCACTACTTTAGTTTCCCTTTAGATATGCATAGAGTCAAGTAACTTTAATAGTGTATTTTTCTTGGATGTGTTCCAAATTCAGGTCCCTGGCCACCTCCAGTTGGAAAGATAGAACATATTGTTTGAGATAGTCAAGCCTAAAGTATCTAAAACACCTTCTAACAGTATGGCTTTTTTGAGCTAAATAAAATCATGGCATTATAGAGAAAAACTTTTACATGTTCTGGGAATGTTTAGAACTAAGGAAAGACTTTTTCTTTGACTTTAAATAATATGAAAAAGAAGGAGGCAATACAGATTCAGTCATTGTGGTTTTTGAGCTTCCCAGGTGGCGCTGTGGTAAAGAATCTGCCTGCGAATGCAGGAGGCATGGGTTTGATCCCTGGGCCAGGAATATTCCCTGGGGAAGGAAATGGCAACCCTCTTCAGTATTCTTGCCAGGAAAATTTCCAAAGGCAGAGGAACCTGGCGTGCTACAGTCCACGGGGTCTCAAAAGAGTCAGACACGACTGAGCACACACACAATTATGATTTTTCATTTCACATTTTTTTTCTTTCAGTTGGCTTTTGAAACAATGAGTGTTATATCTGTGGTTACCAACTGTGCTCTGATTGGAATGTCACCACAAGTGAATGCACTCTTCCCAGAGTCAAAGACAGACCTCATTTTGATCGTAGTGGCCGTGGAGGTAAGTGAACATTTAAATCTATTTTATATAGTCTCTACGTCAGATGCCTATATTTTTCTAAGGCAGTGATGTCTCTGCCTGTCAGTGATGGAGAGTTCAGTGACTTGCATTACCTAGTTAGAAGGCAAAGCAGTTCAGGTATTGGGAACACAATGAGGATCCAGGCTGTGCATTCCTGGTTGTTGTCTCTGTACAAAACAGTCCCCATGGTACAAACAGGACTGTTACTTTCCTATCCATTGTGCTGCTGTGTCTAGTGCTGAGGAGATAAATCCTATTTGAAATAGAATTCTGTGGACTTAATATTTTTTTTTAGTCAGTTTTAGGGAATCTTTAACTTCTACTTTCTTAAGCAAATAAATCCTAAGAAATGCTTTTTGATCATGGCTTGTTTAAAGTCTCGTTTGCAGCAGGTATGGGATTATCATAAAACACTCTAAAACTCCAAGATGTAAAGAATAGGAAGACTCATAATATCACATACAAAGTATAAGTTGGCTGTCTGTGTATTTCCTTGATATTTAACTTGTTTATCATATTTCTGAATACAGATTACTGTACATCTTGAAAATGAAGCTCTAATCAATAACAGATGGAAGAATTTGCAGGAATTTTCTTGTGATTATAGTTGTCAAGGATACTGTGATCTTTCATTTTTAGATACTGAAAAAAATAGAACAGTAGTAAAAGTTTGTCAAAGCAGAACTTAGTAGGATCACAGAGCAGTGATTCAGGACTTAGGGCTAACCCTAAGAAAGGAAATTATGAACTTGTACATTTCTGGCAGTAGAAGAAAGAGATTCTGCTTTGTTCTATTTGCTCTTTTAGCATGTTTGATAGGAATCTGGTTCATGATAGAAGTTGTATATAGAGTATGCATTTCGGAGAAGGATTTTAGACAGCAGCAAGTAGGAAAAGAAAGAGAATGTTTTGCAGATAAAAGTAAGCCTGTTTTGAATTTTGTTCTTTGAACAGGATTTTGGAGAGCTATTTGCAAGGTGACTTACCACCTGTGGCAGTGAAAGAACAAGACAGAGGTCCCTTAGATGGAATGACCAACTGACCAGGGTCACAGTGCATCTTCTTGATTTAAGACATGGCCCTTAACTCTGCAGATCTTGGAGGTTGTCTTTGTCAGCACGTCAGGAGCTAATAATTAGGAGCTTTCAGCTTTGGGGCTGGCTTCCACTTAAAAATCATGAGACTCCCAAGGAACTGACCAGAATACCAGGTAGTTAATTTGCCATAAGGAGACTTTTCCAATGCTTATAACAGTCCGTGTTCAAGTAGAAGTGGAACTGGTTATCAGACGGTTTCTTAGTGAATTTAGAGGCAGAGCAAGAGGAGTGTAATAGTCTTAAGAGATGCAGAAAACCTGAAAATCATCCCTCCCCTCAAACAGCGCAGAGCTCTGTCTGAGCTGGGTCTCGGTGCCCATCATCAGCTTCTAAGCAGTGATGGATGATTTCAGCACTTCCCACTTCTTGATTTTGCTGTCACTTTTTCTAGACTCCTGGCTGGCCCAGCCTTCCTATATATTCCTGTTCATTAGGCCAGTGTTTTCTTCTGTATCAGTGATCTCTTAATCAGATATCAGGAACTGATCTTTTAATCAGTTTTAACAGAAACTTTGTTGTTGTCCTGAGGTTCTAACCCTTATGCCTCCTCTTACCATTTTAGTCTCTTCTTGTAGTATTCAAGCAACTATTTTACTGTCATTATCTAAACTGGTTCTTTAGAGTACAACAGAAATAAAAGCCTCAATTAAAAAATCCTGTGAGGAAAAACCTTTTCTATAGGAAACGTATTATTCTTTAATTGTGACTTTAATTTTTACTTTGTTATGTTTTTAAGCCTTTTATTTTGAAATAATTATAATTCAAAGGAAGTTGAAAAGATAGTACAGAGGTCCCATGCACCCTTCGCCCAGTTCACCCCAGTGGTTACAACTTACGTAACTATAACATGGTTTCAAAACCGAGACCTTGACACTGGTATAGTGTGTGTGTGTAGTTGTCATCTTATCACATGTATTGATTCATTAAACCCCTACAGTCAAGATATGTACGTTTCCATCATCACAAAGGTCTCCCTCCTCCCACCCCCTTATAGTCAGTCACACATGGTGTTCTGGTCTCTCAGTTCACCTCTCTGAGCATCAGCGGTCATGAATCTCTTCTCCATCTCTATAATTTTCTCATTTTGAGAGTGTTATGTGAATGGCAACCTACAGTCTGTAAACTTTCCTTTGGTAACTTGTTATGTAGTAAATTGTGTCGCCCCCAAAGGTCTGTTGAATAGCTGACCCCTAGCCCCTCAGAATGTGACCTTATTTGGAATGGAGTTGTTACAGCCCTGAGTAGTCCCAGTGAGGTCATACTGGAGTAGAGGGCACATTATCCAGTGTGACCACTGTCCCTACAAGAAGAGAGGGGACAGAGGAACCCAGGGGAGGGTGCCCTGTGATGAGGGAGACAGAGATGGAAGTGCTTTAGCTCCAGGTCACGGAACCCCAAGGACTGCCCCCAACCACCAGAACCCGGGCAGCACCAAGGGGCGAGTCCCCCATCCGGGTCTCAGAGGGAGCAGAACCCCTGAAGCCATGACTCCAGACTCCTTGTCTCCAGATTGTGAGACAATAAATTTCTGCTGTTTATTTTTTTATTAGTTGAGGCTAGTTTCTGTTGTTTAAACCACCCAGTTCCTGATACTTTGTCATGGCAGGCCTAGAAAACTGACACAATAACCTTTCTGTTTGAAGAACTTCCTTTAACCAGTGCTAGCAACAAATTCTCTTAGCTTTTCTTTATCTGATCACTTTTCTCCCCCCTCTTTCATTCCTGAAGGATAGTTTCATAAGGTATGGTATTCGTGGATTACAATTCTTTTCTTCAGCACTTGAAAAATATTCTGGCACTTCCTTCCATCTGGTTTAGATGAGGAATCTGTTTTCATTCAGACTGATGGTAGGTACTGTTGCACTTTTCCTCTGGTTGCTTTCAAAGTTTTTTCTTTATTTTTAGTTTTCCCAAATTGAGTTATAGTGGGTCTTGGTGTGGATTGATTTAGTTGTTTGGGGATTACTTCACTTCTTAGATCTTTAGGCTTATTCTTTCACCAAATTTGTGGAAATTTCAGGCCTTATTTCTTCAGATACTCTTTATTCTTCCTTTTCTCCATCTGGGATTGATGATCTGAATGTTGGCTTTATTTCTTTATTTTTTTGTATTTTCCTACAGATTGCTAAGGTTCTCTTCAGCTGTTTTTTTTTTTTTTTTTGGCCCGTTTTCTCTCTGTTGTTCAGTTTGGGAGAATTCTATTCATATTCCTCAACTTCACTGATTGTTTCCTCTGTCATATCCACTGTACTGTTGACCCCATCCACTGAGTTTTCAAATTTTTCTGTGATTACATTTTTCAGTTCTAAAAGTTCCATTTAGTTCTATGTTATAACATCTGAATTTTGTTTGTTTTGCTGAGATTTTCTGTTTTCCCATTTGTTTCAAGAGGATTTGTACTCGATTGTTGAAACTTTTTTTACAATGACTTGTATTCGCTCAGGCTGCTCTAACAAAATTCTAGAGACTGGGTGGCCTAAATAAGACATACATTTCTCACAGTTCTGATGTCTGAAAGTCCAAAATCAAGGTGCTGGCAGATTTTGTGCTTGTAAGAGCCTTCTTGGCTTGCTGAGAGCTGCCTTCTTACTGACCTTCAGGACCTCGTCTCAACCCTCCAGTGCACCACTGGCTTCATGCGAACAGAATGATGTCTGCTTTTCTATCTCAGAAAATAGGCTACTCCCTAGAATAGTGCCTAAAACACTATAGGGATGCAGTTCAGTGTTTCGATGACTGTTGAATTAATGGAGTTTTAAAAAGGAAGCTGGGAATTTCAGTGTTTATTGAAAATGGGAAAATGGATATTTTTGGATAGATTTATTTTCAGTATTATGTATCTGTATTTGTTAGTGTATAACATTTTCTGAGTCCTGCCTGTAAAACACAAAAGGATGGCCAGTGCTCATCCTTTTCACTCCTTAGTTAAATTATACTCAGTATTGAGTGTGGCTTCCGCAGTGGCACTAGTGGTAAAGAACCTGACTGCCAATGCAGGAGATGTAAGAGACGTGGTTTGATTGGGAAGATCGCCTGGAGGAGGAAATGGCAACTCACTCCAGTATTCTTGCCTGGAAAATCCCATGGTCAGAGGAGCCTGGTGGGCTACAGTCTGTGGGATCACAAAGAGGTGGACACGACTGAGCGGCTGACTCTATGTATGTTTCACTGAATCTGGTGCTAAGAGGAGACAAAGCCATCTTTGTATTTTTGTCTTCAAGGATTCTGCTCCTTCTGTTCTGTCTTTTTTCACTGAAGTATAGTTGATTTACAATGTTGTGAATAATTCTGCTTCTTAATGTAGTCAAGAAGAAATGGATATCTAATACCACACTGTACACACCCACAGATATCTTTAGTACATTTACCAGAGATGCAGCTGGGCAGGAGGACGTGCCAAATGAATGGTCCGTGGAGCAGAAACACATGAATTTCTTTCAAAGACAGCAGACCCTTTCCTATCTTTTTCCTTTGGTGAGCTCTTGGGGCCTCTGTAGCCTGTTTGGAAAAGTCCTGGATGTGACTTCACTCTGATTTCCCAGAGCAGTTTGAAAAGCACCTTCCTCCATGCTGGTGGAAACATCTCACTCAGAATTCTGACACTATTTTAATCTACTCTGAGGATGTCAGTTAGGTGTTCCTGGTGACCTGAAGCATAGGAGACAAAAGCACAGCCATGGGCTCATTTAGAGTCAGTCATGACATAGAAGAAAGGTGTTTAAAATTAATCCACATAGGCCAAAATACCAGCAGTGTTTTAGGCTGTTTTGTTTCTTCTACGTTTATACCTCTAAATAAGAAGTATTTCCTTTGGTCACCAAGGCTAACTTCCTGTAAGAGAAGAATGATTGTTTTTTGTGTGTGCTTGTTTTTATGAGGATA